ATGCGAAAAAATTAACAGAACTTAACTACTTTATAATTTTAATGGCGAACTGTGATAGGCTGGATATACAATGTATTCACTACAAATTACAGATTTTCAACGTATTGGTACTACTACGTCGGTATTACGTCATTAAGCTTGATGTAGATATTTTCTCACCACAGTGCTAGCTTTATTATGAAGCGTGTCTATTGGTATTATATACTTAAAATTGCTATAGAGATTTTGGCACCATAACTTTTGCTTTGATGGAAGACTAAAGTCTATACATTAAATCTTCATAGAAGATTCTATTAAAACAAGTTACTTTAATAATAATTTATTAACAAAAATTATATTAAATTTTATTTTATGTGAACTTGATTTTAAATTGAATAAATCGATTGTAACAAAAAGTCAATCTTCATATACACCCCCAAAACAAAAATTCATATATCACTTCCCAAAGATTGCTAAGCAAATAGAAAATCACCCTTTTTATGTGTTGTTGATTTCCATTTGATGAACGGTTTTTATGTTTATAACCAACCAAATTGCCTCACCCATTCAATAATATACAGACGAATATATTCAGAATAAATTCAAAATCAAATCTAAAAGATTTCAAACAACCAAATCTGCATAAAAATGCGAAACAAAAGTAATTTTTTAAAAAACATTTTTACACTAAAATGTGGTAAAGGGTTAAGTGCTTTCTCTGAAAGTTACCCCCAAAAAATGTTAAAAAGATTTGATTTCAAAAAAATGGCATAATGATTGATTACGATTATGTAAATGTAACAGTAAACGAGATTACCGAAAACATGTAATTTTGGCTAATGTTGAAAAGAAAAAGATTAAATTTAATAGAATTTGTCCGGGTTCACCAAGTACAAGCTTGCAATATTAAGACAGAATATAATTAGATAGTAAATAAATGATACGCTACAATATATCAATTAACTCCTCAAAAGGCGATACAAAAATGTCAGAGTTATTTTTTGCACGGATAATGAGAAAGCTAATATCTTAGTTTGTTACCACGCATAAACGAGCACTCGTATTTGCTCTGTTCATGACGAATTCGACGGTAACGAAGCAGCTAATAAACTCGAGAAGAAGGATACACTAGCTCCCTTTATGGAACACAAACCCTTTTCGTCATATCCTGATACTATACGTAGAAGTAAGTAAGTAAGAGTTTGTGACATCGTGATTAATTGGGAGGACAGCATTAAAAATTTAGGTATCACGTTTGATAAGCGGTTCACTTGGCATAAGCATATACAAGTCAAAAGAAGCAGTTGCTCTAAAACACTGCAATGCTTACAACCACTTTTCAAAACAACAACCTTAGCGCGAAGAACAGAAAATGGATCTATAGCCAGATAATTAGACCAGCATTACTTTATGGGTGTGTCGCGTATAGCAAAGCTGCCGACTCTACTATACAAAACCTACAAGTTGCTCAAAGTCAGGTTCTCTGAAACTCTTCAAAGTGCCTTGGTACATCCGCACTAATGACATGCTAAGAAACCTTAGAATAGACCCGATCAAAAAATATATAAGCGACAGAGCCCTGAAGTTATATGCGAAAACTGACAGGCTATCCTACTTAGCACTATCGGATCTTAGAGAAATCACTCTCCACACTGGGAGGTACGCAGATCTTAGATCAATCACTGAATAATCATGAAGCTTATAAGGAATACATAAATTAGTCAATAAGATGGGTGAGACTCTGTAGTACCCCCAGCTATCAAAGAGTAAAAGTGCCTAGTTGCGCTGACTCGAAAAAAGGATCAACATACAGAAGTATAAAAAATAAGTTGGTTAAGAAGATTACGGCTGACTATAAAGACCTGAAGCAGTCCAAATATTTCATTCGACTGAATAATAGCCATAATAGATTTCTTGAACTAAAGCGATCTTAAAGAGATCAACTTAGATTAAAGAGTCAAGTTACTCGTGAACCTTTTTGCGAGATAGACTTTTGTCAGACTGAAGAAATACTTAGAAATATAGAAAATGAACAAAAATCTCATACGAGTGAACAGTAGCAATGACAAGTTTTCTAAGTATAAATACCTAGATAAGAACTTATAATAGATTAAAGAGTCTATCTACTCGTGAATCCTTTTACGAGATATACGTTTGTCAAACTGAGACAATACTGAGAAACATAGAAAATACGTTGTTCCAAAAGAAAGAAATTAAGTTTTTAATCGTCTTGATAGACTGAAGGATATCGTCATTTGTAGATTCTGTGAGTGAATTTTCCTTTCATCTTAGCTGCTCGTGTTCTACGATTTTTAAATAAATGAGTCTAACACCTTCATTGAACTTTTATTCAGTCAAGAGACGTAGGGAATCGAAAACCAAGGCACATTATTAAGTATGTTAATAGCTCTCTGCACGGATAGCACAATAGAGTAATTATAGTGAGTAATAATAATTTTTATCTTAATTGGCATATATTGACTCATCACTGAACTATCAAAATTAGTCGCCTCTTCTATTAGTCAAAACGATAAAATTATCTATTAATTTACTTTCTTTATGTTTTTTATTTTGTTCTACACACTAATTATTTTGGGTATATTAGAAAACGGGCAGACTGAATTGGAATTGGAATGAATAGAATCCTTTACAATATTTACTATCAGAGGTGCAAACGAACAGAGAAAAATAAAAATATTTTTTATTTTCACTGTACAAGTTTTTTAGAAGTAGAAAGCAGTTACCTTAAATTAGTCGCTTGAAATACCAATGGAAATATAGAGGTATTTAAACTGTTAGCATTGCATGTAATGCTGAATTTAAAAGAGTAATTAAAAATGATCACTATTTAATCCAATGAACTAATTGATATCTGCTTAATTTAAGATGTTAATATTATGTATATAATTATGTATTATAATCAAAACTGATTGGTTTAAAAATCAGGTAAAGAAACAGCAAAACCTCAATTAATTTTAGGCTAACATTATAATTGCTTATCGCTATACAACCTAGTACGTATACCTATGTGTACTACATAATATTTCTACTTCGAAATTTATTAACCCAAAGGCTTCTTGCTAGGCATTAATGCCACGTTGCCAACGTTCTCATTTGTGGCTCATAAATAACACGGAGTATCAATAAAAATTATTACCATTGCATGCGCGTACTTAGTCCAATTAATACCGGTGGAGGTGTGTGACAATAGTACTCAGCCACTTTAACGGCTGTAGCTACACCTGCCCAGTGAACAGTTCAGAGTGTTACACCGCAAATGCCAAATAAACTTCGACAGCTGCAATTTGTGTCACTAATTGCATGCAAATTATGGTGGCTTACGCAGTTTCTGGCAATAAACGTCTCAGCTCCTCCATGCTACCACAGCAGCAGTCCCGTTTATAATATTTTAATAATTAATAATTTGTTCGATAGCTTGTTTATTTGTATTTTATTGAGGGCCCATAAATTTAATTATGATTATTGGCCTAATAATTTTCTATCAGAATTGATAATAGACAATAATATCGTTTAATTAGGTGCGTCCTTTAGCCATTATCATTTCTCGTGATAAGTTCAATAAATTTTTATTATTTACTAATGAAATTCAATTAAAAGCGATAATATTAATAATTTTCTTAATTTGTTTATATATTCTGAATAATCATTTACTAATTAATTTGATTTTTGTATGAAGTCATAAGGCTAGATAAACCTAGCCACTGATATATAAAGATAGCACATACTTCGTGGAAAATTTTATGGCTATTATTAAGCAAAGTTCAGTTCTGTTGAGCAATCTATAAGTAATTGTTCTATAAATAAAATGTTCTATTGTATATGTTAACAAAAAATATAATAAAATACTGATATTATTCCATTAATTACTTAAAAAAGTGTCAAAAATAAATAAATAGCCAATCCATGCTGTCTAAAAGGAACTACTAATAAAGAGGGAGAAGAAAAAAATTTAAAACATATGCACCAAAATAGATATCCTGTTGAATATTTCGATAATAGAAAATTTCTTGCAATCTTACTATATGCATTTCTTCATTTCTTTTGAAAAGTGATGTCTTACAGTCTATGTAATTTACTTCTCTCAAAATAAATTATAGTGGCATTCCCTTACATTGATTAATGGCAGATATTATTCTAAATTAATTTGCTTTGTGACATTCCATTCCAATCTCTCATTCCACTTCCTCATTCTTGAATTGCCGTGATCCGTCAGTACCGATGTCGTAATATTGTAAGTTTCAGTTTAGATAAAGCTTGTACGTCCCGATTCTTGAAGTATGACAGCGCAGCCAGATCGGTAAAAATGAGGCTTTAAAAGATGTTTAGTCTTTTACTGGTCTAATCTGGACACTGACACATGAGGCAAAACAAAGTTCCATTCTTCTTTGCAGAAACACAACCACGATAAAAATTATTATAAAGTGGATCAAGTTTTCTTAATTCGCAGTGGACTATTAGTACCGATACCATAGCACTGATTAAATTTAGTTTTAAATGAAACTTGCTTACGTTTCTAATTTTTAAGTACATGTTAATAATTCTGTCAGATCGGTAAAAAAGACTTAAAATTTGGATCAAGTGGATCAAGTAGTAGTAAGCTAATTTCATTCTTTTGACAAGTTCATGTACTTGGGTTTACAAAAAGATCGTGTATATAGGTTCGATTATCTTTAATACAAGTCTGCTTACTAAAAGTCAGACCCACATATAAACATCAGTGAATCTATATATATATTTATGGTGTAATATATTATTATTTCACTAATAAGTATCACCCATCTTGATAAGAACATAGAGTAGGTTATAAGGTACATATGGCCCCAGAAATCGTTTTTAACGCTTACTAAATATTTTAACAAATTTAGTATACATTTACTAGTAAAAAATTTAAGTAAGCAGTTCAAATTTAATCTGACATTAACTAAATTATTTTTGAGCATCTATCTACGAAAAATAAAAATGTTGAATTAATTTTTAATTACAAAACTTTAAATTTTAAGTACTTTCTAGATCATATTCATGCAAAATTCAGTTAATATATTATCAATTAATCGATAAACATGGCAGTTCAAAAATCCGATTCAGAAAGATATTTGGATGATCTTACTCATAAAGAATCTCCTAAGCAACTACTAAACTGGATTAATAAAACTTTGGAAACAAAATTTAGTAGAATTGAGGAGCTATGTACAGGTGCCGCTTATTGTCAGTTGATGGATATATTATATCCAGAAATAATTGATCTAAGTAAAATTCACTTCTACACCAATACTAAGTTACATTCCAGAAAAAACTTCGAGGCTCTAGAAATGGCATTTGAGATTCTTAACATTAACAAACACATTCCAATTAAGGAGCTAATTAAGTTTGAATTTATGCCAAATATTGAATTTCTAGTATGGTTCAAAGCATATTTTGACTACAATTTCATGGCACATAAAATCCGTTATCCAGCAAAACTTGTGCGTTACTTTAAGCCACTTGGTTATGGTTCACCATCAGATACTGATTTGGTAGAGTTAATGTGGAAAGAAGATGAAAAAGATGTAGCACCCAGGAGTTATTTACAGGAAAAGTTATTCCAAAAAGAAACTCGCAATGAAATTAAAGAGAGAATGGAGTTAGAAATTGAAAATCTCAAAAAAGGTGAAGTGTATTTAACCAGATTAAAGAATGAGAGAGATTTTTACTATCGAAAACTAAAAAAAATTGAAGCAGTTTGCAAGCAGTCAGGTGAATTTGGTAAATTTGGAATTCAGGTTAAAAACATTTTACGTGCGAATCTTAAATCTGATTGATGACAAAGGTAAATAAAATAAATTTATAAATAGGGTATTAATTCAAATTATAAAATATTATAGATAACCTTTAAGTCAAAATCATCGGAACCCTTTTTCAGAAGGAAGTTGTCTAAGCAATGACTGCAAGAGCTGTTTCACGATCTATTACAATCTTACATTAATTCTTATATATAATGCCTTATAAAATCTAAATCTTACAAAAATCTAAAGTTACAAAAAAAGTTAGAATGATATAATGGCAAATGGTCCAATAAATAAAAAAAGGAATCATACTTTTAATCTTTACTATATCTAGCAATATTCAAAAATATTTTTAAGACTATATTGCCACCGCCAATGTTACTTAATGCTCACTCATAAGGTCTTGCGGCCACGGGATTATTTTTCTATGACTCAGAATATTTATTTTTTATTTTATAATATAATTTTATACTTTTTAAACAAGAAGACATTAAGATTATGTATGTATAAGCATCGGTATCGGTACATGTAAAGATTTCAAAGAGTATCACATATACTTTGAGGTCCTGTGTTCTTGAAAACTGATTTAAAGTACATGTGAATTAAGGTCTTGTACTTTTTTATAAAAAGACGATAAAAACTTAAATTATCTAAGAAAATGTTAGCAGTGAATGTTCGTTACAATAATATTCTATGCTACTCTAGTATGGTGTGATATTTCTAGTATCATCATTAAACAACTACAGATTAAACAAAATGAACTGCATAAAGTGGTTAAGAATCCTCCTTGGTATTATTCTACTAAAAGTCTACGTGACTTTGCGAAAAAAAAAATGGTTCAAGATGGGGTGAGAAATCTATCCAAAAAATTAAAAAGCGCGGTGTTAACTTCGCATTCTACACATTTTAAATAAATTTTAGTCACCTTATTATAAAGCATATAGTATAATAATAATATATCTTAAAATAGGTTAAACCTATTCATAAGGTTGATTTTTCATTTCCATTATTAAATTACTACTTTTGTGTCATGTATTTTTGATTTTAATCCATAATAATAATAGGTTGTAAGTCCCTGAACAGAGGACTTACAAATAGTCGCTTACTTAAATCATCTCTAAGACTTTAATCATTCATTATTATTTGAGAAATTCATTATTGCGTTAATCATTATTGCAGTTAAAGTAAAAGTTTCAATTTTTCTAAAAGCTTTTCTTTGAATAGGGAGGATTCGAAAAGTAGTGAACTACAATAACAATTTTTTTTTATTATTTTATTTAATTGAATTTTTGGCTAACCATAGAGCTGTCTCGATAATTGCCAAATATCCATCAGTGGTCCTGACATTATTTCTTGTATTTAATTATTGGTAATTATTTTTGTTTTTGAGATTGCAAGCACCAAGAATAAACTCGTACTCTGCAAGATTTGAAGCTCAGAGTCAGTGTTTATTAGCCAACTAAATCCAAAGCAGTGCCGGACTTGCATGTTCAAACTTGGAGTTTTGTTAATTTTGCTGTGAGAGTTCATTAACAAATTACCTTGCTACCGAGCTGTCGAATAATTGAAGCAATTATATTTATATTTTTAATTATTAAACTTCAATACTATTATTTTGTAGAGACATTATTTTTTATTTTTATTAATATTTACACTGAAGTGTGTTCTGTGTCTTGAGAGTTAACTGTTTGATATTATGTTCTCCCAACAAGAAGCCATCATTAATACGTTTAAAATCAATAAAGTGTCAATTGACAAGTTTATTTACTGAGGAGGAGTAAAATTAATTATGATCTCTGTTAACGCACTTCCACAAAACCATTTTGGAATACAAGTCGGTACAATCATTGATTACAATTTATTTGAATAATTGAGCTCAATTGTTTGCACAAGGATATCCTATCGACAACAAACGTACAATAAACGTACAACAAATACACAATACATCAACGTTTGTGCCGTTGATGACGTTGACAATAATTTTGTACTTGACGGCACAGTTAAAAGCAAAGCATCCAACAACCAGCACTCAATGCCCATCCAGCCAACCAAAGAGCGCTCAGCGAATTCCAACACTTTTAGTGATGATACTTTCGTATCCAATGTTTTTATTTGTCAAAGTATAAAATTTCTATTGATTTTAAAATTATGAATACAAACATCGAAGGCACGAAACAGCACCAAACACCAGACTCCAAACTCCGAAGTAGGGAAGCTGAGAAGTCACGTCAATTTCTCGGTTGCAATTTAAAAGCAGGGACGGCGTCATTTCATGGCTACAAACTTTTCGAGTGTCGCTTTTATTTTGTTATTGTGCTTTAAAAATATTTAACATGGCGACGTAGCTTTCAGTTTAACTTCCGGTTGCGTAAATTATTTTCTTATTCTATTTCTTCTTTCTGGTAAGTATCTCCTTGTTTTTCGCGTAAAAAGTTTCAATTTAATTTGTTGTTTTTTTTTTAAATATGCAAGTCATTTCGTATCAAAATCTAAACAAAGATTTAATTTAATTTTGAATTAATTTATTTGTCACACACTTGAATTTTCTTTGTAGTTTTTGCTGAGGTTATTTCATTTTATTATATCATTTTGTTGGCATCACGATGTCATCGCTTAAGAATTTTAATTAAATACAAATGCAATCGAACATGCCTCATTACTCAAATACTTCATTAAAAAAATTACCTTTAAATGTCAAAAAAATAGAAAATAAATTGAAAATCTTACTGATAAGAGTGCAACGATATTTTTCAATTTTTTATCAATTTTACATCTGTTTTTAATTGAAATGCAGCTACCGATTTTGAGTTTCAATAGAAAAAAGTGTACTTAGTTAACTAGCAATAACCGCGGTTACGCACAGAAAAAATGCTCACCATTATTAACTAAAGTAATTAGGTCACTCCTAAAATAATAAATAAATAAATGATTTTAATTGTGTTATTTTTTCTTATTATATCTTTTATTTAACCCAATAAGTAAAATAAATCACCAATAATAAATTTATTTCTTAAACAAGTGATATTTACTTATAGCCAAGTTAATGGACTTGTCACATTGTTTCCTCTCTGCATCAATGGAAGAGTTGCGCATTTTTAAAGGGACAGTGCCTCATGCATTCCTGTTTGGAACTTTTATCTTTAAAATAGTTATTTAGCTTACCTAGCATATGTATGTCCAGACCAGATGTCATCGCGGGCCAACACAAATCACTGTACAGATTGAAGGGGAGCAGAAACAAATACATATGTTCATAGTTCTTTTCGGCGAAAATAAAAATACGGTTATAATGTTAAATTTAGTTTTATTAATTTATCAATTAAATTAATTTATTTGGTATACCATAAAAATAAAATAATATAGTTTTACCAGTACATCAAAAGAAAATTTTCACAATTGTAATAGATTAAAATAATGTCGCGGGCCGCACAAACATTAGCCGCGGACCGCATGTGGCCCACGGGTCGTACTTTGGACAGCCCTGATCTACCTATAGTATCGCAATAGATTTTTCTTTGCGCTCAAGTGAGCTTTAATCAAATAAAACCAACAACACTTATGACAAAAAAAAGAACTACCGACACTGCAAGAAAAAGCAGGAAAAAAATAAAAGTGCTTCTAAAATTGTGTAATCACTGTTGCCACTTGAAAATTTTTTTCTGTACCAAAATTGGTTTAAAAAGGCACCATTTCTGTAAAAAAAGGTCCAAAATTTTTCTATTGTCTTTTTATAAGAAAATACAATTTATATAAAATGTACAAAAAGTATAAAACAATACAATATCCACAATAAAGTTGGGTCGCCGAAAATGTACCATTTTTTGAACATGAGTACCAGAGTACCAAACGGAAAAAAAGTACCAATTTTGGTACTAAAGTACCATAAGTGGCAACCGTGTGTGTAATAGAGAGAAAAAGAGAGAGAGAGGCAGAGATCAATATAAAGGGAAAAAGAGAGAGATCAATATAGAGAGATATTAAGCGAGAGAAAGAATGAGAGATAGAAATAAAGAAATAAATATAGATAAATATAGGTAAGTGTAAGAAAGAGAGGAAGATAAAGAGGGAGTGGGAGAGGGAGAGAGAGAGGGGAAGGAGAGAAAGAGATTAAAGATTTTGCCTTTAACTATTATCACGATAATTAGTTTTTGATTTGTATATTCACTTAATGCGAGAAAAAGAACTATACAGCAAATAGAATAAGAAAAATATTATCGACCCTACAATATATTGACAGAATATGGTTTTACTAATGATTATCATTACTAATATGTGCATACTGTCCTAGTATTATATTTTATAATATAGAATTATATTTTTTTATATTACAGATGCAAGTCGTTCAAAATTATCTTTCGGTGTTATTACACAAAATTGACTAAGTACACACATGTGATAGCTCTCACCTCATGTCAAATCAACTAGGTGAACTTTTCAAATAATAGATGTTGTTGGCAGACATACGTTGTTTTTCTCGATATCTGTTGAATTGAAGATCCACAACTTTTCGTTCCCCACATTATGTTTGTTACTTTCGGTGTTTCATATGTGAAAATTGACGCCAATCACGTTATTAATGTCAACAGTACATGTCTGTGGTATGCAACTCACTTACTTACTTACTTGCATTCGTACAATGTACAATGTACAACGTCCCTACAATAAATGTACGATGTGTAACATCAAATTTCTGAGCAAACACAGTAGCTACTGGCATAAGAAATTAAACGAATTCCGAAGTCATTTTGTTTTACTTTTATCTTTCGAACAATTTGTTTACACAAAAATTGTTTAAAGACACAAAGTGGCTTTAAATGTCATCAATGTTAAGATTGTGACATGAAGTGGAGTGCATTTTACGGCATTTACTGTCAATCGTGTGGCAGGCAGCGTATGATGACTTTATTGAAAACCATTGCTTTCCTAGAAGATTACAAATTAATTATAGTTTAATACGCCAAGAATAAAGTGATAAGATACAAAATAAGTGCCAAATAAGTTCTCTATTTTTGTTATAAATTTCATTTTTGTTTGTTGTTTAAATAACTTTGAAACGATTATTGATACTGAAATCGAGTCGAATGTCAAGAGGTGCCATAATGAAGGGGATAAGAAAGATAGATTCCAAATTGATATCAAAAATTATGTGAAACTGTTATAGACTTGACAGCAATTCAAGTATCTATATATATATATATATATATTGTTTTACTCCAAAATTATATTTATTTTAAAATTTTATTAATAAATGGAACTTTTATTTTCTAAAATAGTGTTGTTAATATTTTATCCAAACATCCTTTGAGCTTTATTGTGATAAAAATAACTAGGTCATCTTTCTTTTTATATTAAAGATGTTATTACAGATATTATCCACAGAAGCGATATAATTATCATTTTTCTACTATGCTTTATCTAGTAATTTATCTAAGTAGTTAATGCTTTATAAGATTTGACCATTATCAACCCACTTATTTCCTTCCAAATGTCGTATTTAATGAAATGTCTGTCTTTATATCGTCCTACAAAACTCTGTTTATGCCACTGTAGAGAACTTATTATTAAAATCCTTAAACTTTAAAAAACCAATCTTTGTTTTTAATTTTGGGTATATTTTATGGAAGTCTTAATTCCTCTTAAAATTGTACTTTAGAGTCTACATACCAAATAAAAACCGTTAATAACCGTAATAGTAATAATGTCTAATAATAATAATTATCTACTAATCACAATACCTGTACATCATGCGATATGCGATATATACCTATATCGTATCACATATTAGATATAACATATTATTAGAACTAAAATTAGACGATCAGTGGTTGAATAGAATTCATGGGCGCGCTGATATGTTTTTCAAGAATAACTTAACACATACTATTTCGCTGCAGATTTGCACGTGTCTATTTACAAACACAAATGTTCAGAATATTGAGAGTCATGGACCCAATTTTTTAATATACTTGAAATAGGGATATCATTGTGGTTATTAGTGATAGTAAAGCAGCACTTGAAATTATATTTAACCTACATACTCCTTATTAAAAATAAATCCATGAATGCAAATATGAGTTAAACTTTAATGGATTCGTGGATATTCTACCATACTGACCTATCAAACGACGAAGCATATCAATTTGTAAGAGGCGGTCTAAAATGCTACCACAACCATATCTGGGTTCCCTAAATCTGTTATGAAACTAGCTATTGACAAAATCTATTTTAATGAAATATAATGAATAATGAAATATCAAGGTATAATTGGTGCGATCACTGGTCAGAGCACTTACGTTAAATACTTATTTCGTCTTGGACTCAGTGATAACAGACCAAGCGATGTGGGCAAAGTAAACAATATCCATTTTGTTTTGAAAGCGATAACAACATGGTAAAAAGTACCTTAAAGATCTGAGTGCTGTGGATATTTCTGCAATTCATTCTTTAAAGGTAGTTTCGTGTTAAAGTTAAGATTATTTTATTAAAGTATCTTGCTAATAAAGAAAATATTATCCCTAAAAAAATTCATATCATTTGAAGTGTACTAATTAAACGATTATATTGTTTTTTTAGACAAATAAGAGGTATTAAATTTTATTATTAAAAGAGTAGACGTGAAAATTGCCCAACAGCCGGTACTGCGGCCAGAAGAGTCCTATTGTACCTGTTTCACTATTGATTAAACAAAGCCCCTTTAAGCTTTGTGAATAAAGGCTAGAACTAAATCTAGAGCAGAGTTCTTAATCTGCTCTGGTGACAGAAACAGGTTTCTTCTGTGCGTTATTAAAGCTGGACAGTCAAAAAGAATGTGCATGGTCGTTTTCTCATCTTCGAGGCATAATCTACATTTCGAGTTAGCAAATAATTGCAGTTTATAAAGGTGATATTTCAGACCATAATGACCTGTAATGAAACTCGTTATCAACCTTAAATTACATTTTGAGAATTTAAGAATGTCTTTGTAGGAGTACGGTGTTATCAGTGCTTTGCTTTGTCTGAGTCCTGGAAAGTTTAGCCAGTACTCCAGCCGCATATGATTTTCCATTTTCTTGACAATCTGTTTTGTATTGGCCCAGTTTATTCCACAAAAGTGTTGAGGGCCTATAAAGTAATAGGTAATAGAATTTAATAGATATTAATTAATATTTTTATTGAAAAATTATATTTTAAACAAATCTTGTCTATATCCTTTCAGTATATAAAGACACCGAACTGTAACATTTTTTTCATATTTTTTTTTTTGAAAGCTCAATAAACGAAATATTTTCACAGTAGGTCTGGGAGGGAGTTTTTACTTTATTGGTATTTTTTTTTAAAAAGCCACAAAAGCTACTCAACTGCAAAATTGCCATTTTGTTTACATAATTTGCTGCATAAATAAATATCCGTCCAAAAAAAAAAATGGTAAATTCATCTATTTGTTTCTGTGCAATTTACTTAACTGAAACGATTTTGTTGGGCTTAATTTTAAACAACAATAAAAATAAATTTGTGTAAATATTAACAATCCAGGACCTAAACTGTTCAGCGATGGAAAAAAATTAACCTTAGGATCTTCATTTAAATTTTGGTTATTTTGCAATTTTTCACTTCATTACACACATTCTACGCTATCATTTTACATAAAAAGGATTCGTTTTTCTTTTTTACTGTCAAAGGACATGAACAAGAATTTAATAGTGAATCCAAGTTGTAAAAAAAAGAGACCAACAACCGAAAAGTACAATAAAACAATGTTTTACGTAATGAAAGGATTATTTTGGAAAAACAAAATTAAGCCAAACAAATAAATAAGGGTCGATCTAAAAGGGTTTAATTGAAATTGTTGTTTTGATAATATTACATGGAGTATACCAATAAAACAGATATATGTATTGAGATACGATAAGTATCAATAAGAAGACCATTTGCCTTAAAATTATAAACAACTTCTTTTTTAAATCTCAATTGTATCTTTACTGTTTCTATATTAACATAATTCGAATTTTTCTAGATAATTATGATAATAGTTAAAATATTCTATGTTTTAATAACCTTTGAACCATCCTTTCAGTATACTCCTTTGAGTATAAAAGTTTGTAGGTTGAAAAGATCTATGTGCACTGCGCCCACAGGTTGGTCAATTGTACCCTTTGTCAAGTAAAGGCCACAATAGAACCAAATAGTTAAAAAAAAATGTTAAGAAAATGGACCAAGTTCTCAATTTGAATTTCTTTAAAGTCCGTTTCCGTGAATTCCACTTTCAATTGAAGAATTATTTATCGCAGAATGAAGCTGGACACTTGGCAATTATACGATCATTGTCTCTGATTAAGAGATTATAATTGCAACTGTGACTCTTATTTCACTAAAGGATTATTATTTTTTTTATTATTATTAAAGAGTAGACGTGAAACTTGCCCAACAGCCGGTACTGCGGCCAGAAGAGTCCTATTGTACCAGTTTCACTATTGATTAAACAAAACCCCTTAAAGCTTTGTGAATAAAGTCTAGAACTATATCTAGAGAAGCTAGTTATTGAAACAACATAATCTATAATTCGTGAATATGTATATTTTTTTCATTGGAGTAGAATATGTTTCATGGATCGAGAAAAACAAGACAAATCACATTTTTTTTTTATTTCCGTAGCAGCTGTAATAATCACATATACATCTATTTTTCCAAAACTATATGAAAATATAAACTTGTTGTCAATTTAAATAATAAGGAAAATTTATATTTTGAGAAAGTGTTGTGCCTTGCTGTTAAATGAAATTAACATTTATATGTAAGTACAAAATATTTGTTATAAACAATTAATTTGTTTTGTAGTTTCCAGTTAAGAAAGGCAAATAAATATGTTTATAATAATATATTATATTCTGTATTATTTACATAATCAAAAAAGTTTTTTATATAAAAAACTTTAGGCTCAAATGACGATTCAAAGAAATTAAGATCCACTTTGATCAAATAGTTAATTAAGAATATTATACTTTCGTAGCTTTAAATAAATAATATTTCATTAATCAGATAAAATTTCTAAGATATTATGTTTCGCAACAAACTAAGAAACCCTAAGTCAGTTTAAAAATGACTTAAAGGATTCTTGATTACCGACTAGATTAAAATCGGTTGCATCATTATCTGATTTATACCTTAAGCAAAGTAAAACAATTACTCAAATTGTCACAAAAAGCATCAACTCTTTTAGACAGACACGAGAATGTGTCACATTGCTCAGTCCTGCTTTGTTAATTTGGAGGCGTAATACTTGATTAGGATAGTACAACATTAGTTCTGTTCTGCTGAAGAAAGTTGTCTTCTGACATATAAAAAAACCAACAAGTTCCTTAGCCTGCGATTTCACTTAAAATTCAAATCGGCAGTGATTTTTATCTATCATAACACATTTGTGAACTAAAGCTTTATAAAACTACTGTCAATAGTACTATATGCATAGTAACTACAAGTACATTCACAGCTGCATTAACAGTTATTTCAGCATGAACGAACCCTGAACAAAGCACTTCATTATTGTTGTTCGCCAATAGCTTCAGTATCTCCTGACAATTCAACAGAAACCTAGAAAAGAAGCTCTAATAGGACAATGTTGGTATCACTTCGTAGATACATATGTATTGTGGAAACCGTTTAAACATCAAATACTTTTTTTAAATTTTTTAATATGTATTTAGTTCTATAATATATATATTTATATATAAATCGTTATTTGTGCAAAACTGGAGCTTTGAATGAGGGCATGGGTTTATAACCAATAAGGTGGATATGGACCCAAGAAGTAACGGAACTTCAATCTGCCGATTGGGCGACTAGTCTAGACGTGAAATCACAAATGCAAACGAACGATTTTAATAAAAGCATCGAAAATTTATAATAAATTTATTGGAATCAGGAAATATGCGTATAAGATAATGCGAAAATTTTATTTTATTTTGTTTATAATTATTTAGTCTTTTGATCCATACGGTCTGTATATACAAAATCTTGCAAAGTACAATATTTAAGACACTCAACAGTGTATGTGCTTAGAAGTCATTATCTGAATCCGAAAATATTTGGGTTCAAACATCATCTCCCATGGTTATTCTTATACGTTTAAGTCTTATAAATCGAACCATAACCATAAGGATTACAATTGCATTGAGTGGTTAAAAATTCAAAATAGGTTAGTATACTTTTATTCTCAATTCATAATTATACCTACCAACTGAAATAAATCAACTAATAAATTGTTTTTGTTTCAGTGATAGTAAAATAAGATACCATTATTTGCTAGCTCTGATGTATAACAGAAGGCCTCTGTTTTGAATCAAAGAACAATTGTAAGTATTATAACTTATATTTATTCCAATATCTATTTAATTAACAAAAATATCAAAATTAAATTAGTTATAAATAGAATGTACTAGTAATATTATCAAATTGACTGAGATCTCTATACTTAAATGTATAAATAGGGATATACTTGTGTTTTTTTTAATTATGTGGATTGTAAGGATCTTATATGCTCTTTCAATTGTTTTTTGTCTTGTTCTAACTGAGAAATTGTCAATGTAAAATTTGAAGTCCTTTCTATGTAGATGCAGTAAGTTTTCTGAATTCGTCTAGAATTCGTCTTGTTTCCAGCATGAAAATATTCTTTTCTTAGACCCGCTGTATACTTATACTATTGCTATTAATGCCTTTGATCACTGTTAGTGTCTTTAGTATAATGTACCTACTAGAGACTAGAAAAGAAAAACTATTTTAAATATGAAATGTTACTTAAAATTTTTAAGCGTCGGACCAACTATAGAATTATAACATCTCTACCATGTAGCTACTAAATATCATATCTGTAAATTAATTTAGTCTCCAAGATACATATATCTCATTACAAAAAGTTTGAGTATGGAATCAAAAAATTTATGAATGTTACATTGAGAATTATTTTTTCTTTTGGATTTAAAAGGAAGTTTTAAGATATATTAGGTTTTCGAAAAAATGTATGTTTTATTTATTTTTAATTTATTTTTTTTTTATCCAAAAAACTTTTCTATTAACAAATATTCTTTGTTTTACGATAATTTAAAGAATCTTTTATTTTTCCTTTGATATTTTTTCTCGCTGTCGCTAATTAACATTAAAAATGTTTATATACAGGTTTTCTATATAAATATTCCAACAAAATTACATTTTTATTTGCTATTTATATTTCTACTACTGGTATTTTGAGTACTACAGTTCAGACATCTTATTTTATTTTATTAACTTCTTTGCTTTTTGTTATTTATTGCATAGTATACATTGGAGTTGAGTTGAAAACTCGTTCAATTGAAAAACAAAAGCACATCATTTAATGCAAATGCAAAAATTATGTACACAAAATAACAGAACAACAACAACTTTACTGTTTTATGCAGTATTGGATTTTTTTCATGTATAAAACTCATTTAAGTGGATTGTGCAAAATAGTTACTAACCATTGGGATTGATTTGTTAAAAATTGAGCCGTGAACTAATTATTGATTTGTGTGAGGGGTACAGCAACATAAATCGAACTTTCATACTTTAATAATGTGGTTGATAATTTACTCCTTCATTTATTTCGTTATCATCCATAATACTGGTTTTGTGTTTTTTTTTCTTCTTTGTATTATGATAATTTCAATACATTGCATACAATTTCAATACATAAATATATTTTTTTTTTGTAAACAAAGGAATACTGAAGTATGTTGGTAGTGTACGTTTAAGACGTTTTTTGTACTAGTTCCAAGCCAGGGAGTCTTCTCATTTCCAAGTTTGAGTGCTGCAGAAACTTAGATAAATGGTTAGCATTGCTTTTTTGGACTGTTTCATATATAGTAGGGATTTTCATTTGTGAATATAATCGTTTGTGATGGACCATCTAGCATCGACTATTGTTCGCAGGCAGCCTCTGCTATTTTTGATTGCAACCTCTGGATGGTATTTATATTTGTGTTACAGATGATTCCCCATATATCAATTCCATAGTTCAAAATCAGAGAAATAACAGTTTTGTAAATCAGTACTTTGTAGTCAATTGACAGACTGGAATTTTTACCAAGAAGCCAATATAGATCTGCAAATCTTCGATGCGCTTTCTTTTTCTTCTGTATTCTGTGCTCCTGTCAGCTTTTGGTCTAATAGCATGCCCAATTATTTGGCTTTCACGCTTGTTGTTGTTGAAATGCACGTATGCATCTAATCATAAAAGTATGAATGTATGTTAAGTAAATGTCAAGTTCACTGAGGAGTAAAATAAATCATTGTTATTGTTTATTTATTTATTTATTATAATTAATTACAAAATATAAAATCTTATAACTAAGATAAGAAAAAAAAACGAGCGCTAGCTGCCAGGTTGGTTCTTCAGCTCGGATATTATAAAATAAATTTTATTTACTTGGTTACAGGCTTTAATATATTTATACATTAAAAGTATGTTTTCAACAGTAATTGTTTTTAATAGGCTAGTAGGTAAGATATTAGGAAAGATATTACTACGAATAGAATTAAAAGAAGGCCAATCGTTAAGTATATGATCTATGGATGGTGTGCTATTACAGAATGGACAGTTTGATGGCTGATCGCCACTCAAAAGATGTTCATGAAAAAGCTTTGAATGTCCCATACGCAATCGGATAAAAATCTTACATTATTGACGAGTGCATAATAGTGAATATATAGCTTTTAAAGCACTGGTATTGGACGATTTGTAGCGATGATTGTACTCTGACCATTCCATAGCCCATTCGTCTTCCATATGTTTGTTTATAAATTTTAAAACGTCTTTTCTTTCGGATGTCTTGAATAAGAACAACGGAGAGCGAATGGCGGTAGAGGCAGCTTATTGTTGTTGCAACTGCTATTGTAATCTATATGCGAGTAACCACAAATATGAATGTAGGTTTGCTTAGAGTAAAGCTATTAGAAAAAAAGTCTTAATAGGAGTCTAATAGTAGTAGAAGAAGAAGAATAAGAAGTCAGTTTTAATTTCTTCAATTTTATATATTATATTTACATAAACGAATTTACGTGATTGTTTATCTTTTCGTCAAACAAATTATATTAGATATATTTATGAATGTTGCTGATTATATTATTTATTTTATATTGTTATATACTCGCATATAAAATAAGTTTTTACAATCTCGTTTCTGAAATGTTGATATCATTTTCCATATGTACACACAGTGTATGCTGCGCACACGTTCATGCAAATACCCATGCCCAGGACTCAGGATTCATAATTCATAAATTCATGTGTATCCTTTCCGTTGCAAATTGTCTTGAGGGAATTTCGTTGAAAAATAAGAAAATAAAACGCCACAAATATGTAAACAAGCAAATATCACGCGTTATCTGTTTTCTTGCCATTGCTGTGTTTATGCTGTGTTTATGCTGTGTTTCTGTGTTTATGATTATGATTTGTTTTCCTTTGTACTTAAGACAAGAGAGGATAATATAAATGTTACAACTTCTTGATCCTTTTTGAGAAATTTCATTTTATACTTTTTGACATTTCGACATTTTTACAGATTTGTCAGATTTAAATTACGTGCCATTTATTTATATATTCTACATACAACAATATATACATATATATATACATATACATATATATGTACAAATAAGCATTAATGTCTTTAGACTACAATCATATTATATCATATAATAAGTTCTTGTCGTATTTGTTTATAAATGAATATAACTGACTCGTGTAAGTATTTGTGATTTTGTTATCCTGACAATAACATAAATAAACATTTTTGAGTACCGTTTGCACTTAACTTGATGACGGTTGTTAACAAAGTTAACAATCTTCTTTTATTTACAACATGATGAGTCTGTAATGATTATGTTGTTGTCATATGATGATATGACCATGACGAGAAAGTGACATCATGTGTTAATAAAATAAAATTAGATTTCAAAAATAAAAATATTTAAATAACAAATTACTTATATTGTTAAAATAAATTTATAATAATACGATAAATAAACTACTATGAATAAGACATATACCAGCCATATGTTAATGAAATACAACATTTATAACAGTTAATTATGTTTATATATAGCTATAGTTTATGCGTTTGTTTTAAAATAATTTAAGAAACTTGTAAAACAACAACAACTTCACAAAACTTAATAATAATAAAATTTAGCTCGAGATTGGTTAGTCTAATACAGGGCTGTCTAAAGCACAGCCCTCGTCTAAAAATTATGAGGCCCACATGTATTTAATCTACTACAATTACGACAATTTCTTTTGGTGTACTGTTAAAATAACATTATATAATTTTTATGATATACCAAATAAATTAATTTAAATTGATAAATTAATAAAACTATATTAAACATTATAACCGTATTTATATTTTTGTCGAAAAGAACTGCGAACGTACGTATATGTTTTTGCGGCCCTTCAATCTGAAACAGTGATTTGTGTTGGCCTGCGATCGCATCTGGTCTGGACAGCACTGGTCTAATATACGAGTTTGCATTTAAAAATATGCAATGTTAAAGTTTAATCCTTGTAACCTTGTATAACACATTTCATTTAATCTTATTTTAATATTCAGACCACCAGTACTGGTTAAGCTCAATAGACTGAAGCTCTGTCACTATTATAGGTCTATAAACATTTCTGCGACTGTTTTCAGTTCACTGCTAACATATTCAACATCTCAAGAAAGCACATCGAACTCTCATATTCACTACATTTCATTTAATCTTAGTTCGTAGTTTAATGTTTAGATTTCAAAATTATATGCGAATAATTTTATCCAATATTCAATATCAATATATATATTAAAAAACGAAAATTGGCAGTAAAAAATTGCATTTTCCTATTTAAAATCATAATTTACCGTTTTATTTTCAGTTGAAACAAACTTTATGTGCAGTTATCCTTGAACTAAAGAAGAATTATAAATAAATTCTTACTTTCAATATCGTAATAGACGAATTTTAATTTTCATTTGGTTTATACAGGTGAGTCTTAAGATAAGAATTATAAAAACAACAATATTATAAAAAATAAAATCACAGCTTTGAAATAAAAAAAAAAGGCAACTACAAAAATAATTTTAAATTCGTTGAACTTGTGTTCCAAATAAAGCTGTAGTTTATCATTTGGTTCTCATTGAATAAGCAGGCAAGTGCTTTGGCTATTGTCACTAACAAATAAATTGACAAAAAAATTTGGAACTTGAGCATTGAAAGCTTATGTACCCTAGATTAGTTGTGGTATTATACGATTAGTCATCGTTTCTAAGGCTCCATTTTTGACAATCTAAGCCCAGCACAGTCCAACAAATTATAAAACTAATCAAAATATTTTAAATATTTCCTAAGATCACTGACGAAGAGTACTTGGCAATACTCGAAATAGCGTTGTATGGGCAGTCAAATTTAAATAAATTAATGAGATTTTCAGGAAATTTATATTATATAATATTTCTGTTATAATGTTTAACCCTGTTTCCAAAAATATAATGGATTGTTCTTAAGTAATTTGTAAAGTGACACAAATATAAATATAACAAATATATAAATATATATATAACAATCTCAGTCATATAAATTAAAGGTACCTAATTTCAGGATAACATTTCACAACACATTAATACCTTTAAGCATTCTAATATTTGATTATTTCGTAGTTGAGCTCTTATCATGGAACCGTTGCCAACTGATGTTGTGAAGGATTTACAAAAGAAATGTATGGACAATGTAGCAAATGAAACAGTTGGAACCAACGAGCAGACATTAGCTCATGTTAATTCTATTGCCATAAATAGAAAGATTGCAACACTGGAAAGTGACTATCTCCGCACAAAAAAATTTAAAGTCTTACAATTAATAAAGAAACATGCAATAAATCCAGAAATTGAGCTTTAATAACAGATTAATTTCGTCACTAACCTAACAAAAAAAAAAACACAATGTTACTAAATTTGTTATTATTGTTGTAGAAGTTATTAATTTTGCAGAACTTAATAGACACTTTATACATTACACATCGGGTCCCTGGACAATGTGAGTTAATTTAGTATATACTACTTTTATCATAAAAAGTTTAATAATGATTTTTTTTCAGTTAAATATTTTATGGAATTGATCAAATTTTGCTGGATTACATTAAATTAAAAGTATAAAAAAAATTATCGTAAAATATATAATAAAAATTTTGAGTATTTTATCATTATTATATAAAAAAATAATATGTATATTTTATTAATTTTAAATTAAAAATAAATTTAATTAATAATTATCGCATCTATGCAAATCATTTCAAAATTTTAATTTGAGGAATATATGTTTCACTAAAATATCTGACAAAATTCAGATAATTTAGTACTAAGTAGTAATAAATTCATAAATTGATCTAATAATGTAGTGTCGTAATACTGAACTGAGGAATTAATATGTAATACGTCTTTAACTCATTAAAACCACCTTTTTGAAATGGAGAAGATTTCCACCACTGCCTTGGAGAGCAGTATGAGAAACTTCATTCCAGTAATTAGGAGAGAGGTTTGAGATTAAGAGGATTAATACCTGAAATTCTATTTTTATATAAGCCAGATATATAAATACATCAGCATATATGAGAAGATTATATTATAGTGTTTTAATTAATAACTATAGCTTATAATATATGGGGAGAATTAATCGTTTTTTTATAATGCAGACATCATTCAATTAATTTTTAACTCTATCAAATTAAATATATGGAAAAATAATATGCATCTATAAATTTACTTTAATGAACATACTGCTAACTATAGTTTTAGTCTTAGGTTGAGGAGATAACGTATAACCGACAGAGAAGCAGTTTTGCTTTCGTTAACAAATTTAAAGTCCATACTTGTGTGGATATGATACTTCTTTCTAAAACACTACAGTTTTGAATATTTACTTGGGAGTTGCGTTATGTTTTCGCGTAGACAGTCTTTCTTTTGCGTTTTTTTAAAATCATGATTAAATAAAAGTTGAACTCCTATAGTTGTCATATTATATTGAGAAGTTGTGAAATCATCGAAAAGGAAGCTAGTGATATTCAGTTCTTTGCCGATTCTGTGAACGTGAATGATTTTTTACCCGGATCAATTTTAATCTACGTCGATCTCTACTTCTGGAAACTGTATAAGAAGAAACATTTTTCCCCGATATAACTAACTTTCGACTTTAAAGATCTTTTGAAGGTCGTAATATTTTAATTTTTATCAAATTAAAGTGTTGCTTTTAATTAATTGATATTTTGTACTTTATTATAACGTTTATATTTAAGTAATTTACAAAAAATAATTATAAATTTTTATAATCAACCTATTCTAAACTCGTTTAACTTTATTCCATCTGCAGTAATTTATGAGAAAAAAAATTAACCTTCAATTAATTTAACTGGATTTCTTAATTGAATGCGCTCATTGCCAATTAACATTTTTTAATTACACACTCATATAATCCGGGTTATCATTTGTCAGTGTATGCCCTTGGCCCCTCAACCTCCTAAGGGAGCAATCAATTTCAATCTTCGACATTTTGAGGAAAATTACAAAACGTTTTCAACGCATTTATATTCCAAATGAGTTTTCACTACAATAAAATATACTTTTGATGCAATCCAATTACTCAACGACATGGAGAACATGCTACGAACGTTGAGTAAATGGGAGAAGCTCACAGTATCAACGACCCGCCAGGAATCATTTGTGCAAACAAGGAAAGGCGAAATTCACCAAAAATAAAGGACGAAAAAAAAAAAAAAATAAGCGCTACAAAAAGCATAAATGAACGAGTAAACTTAAGTTGAGTACCAATTTAATGTACATGAACGATTGTATATATGTTGGACTAACTGCTGTACATCCTCGTACTACATATATCGGAACAAGTAAATGGCAGTAGCACTTCAAGTGCATATGTACGAATTAAGTACATGCACTGACGACGTTAAAATAGCGCCATCAACATCGTACACAAAATATCAACGACCAACACCCAGTTAAACACTCAACTAAAAAAAAAAAAATAATAATAAAAACGTTAACAGTGTGGCAACTCACATTCCTTTTTGCCCACAATATTTTCACTCCTCGTCCTGCGAAACTTTCTGCAAATCAACGAATTACTTGCTTGCTAAGTGGCTTGCAGTTAATCGCCGTCCTTTAGCTCAACATTTCACATTGTCATTAAACATTTGGAAAACGTATTAAAACACCCCATCATTGCCTTAATTAAGATCCATAAAAGGACATTTACTTACATTGGTTGCCAGCCGCATTTGCAAGCGTAGTCTCGCTTCGTATATTTTATGTATGGCAACACTCGAAAATCGTCCATTTTTCGTAGTTAATTCATGGCTAAAGTCGGAATTAAGTGTATTTTACGTTCATTAACGGATAAGTTGACATTCGAATTGGAGAATTGCAGTTGGGCATAAATGGTCTGTGGTTGCTTATAGATTGCTGGTATTTATAAGTGGTGTATGTGTAGAGAAGTTGGAGGAATGTATGTATTAATAATTTGAATCTATATTTATTATTGGCATAAAAAGGAGATTTGTTGATAAAACTAAGATTTCATGTTCTTTATTCAAATCTTGCATTCAGTAAGACTTTAGACTGCTGTGTATCAGGATTCACAATAATGTAATGTGGCGATGTAAAAGGCTATTCATGTCGTGATTTTGATCTTGATTTGACAGCACTTCTCATTTCACATATGACAAATAGAAATGTTGGCGCCGGGATTTTAGTCGTCTCTTACGACAGACATGCCTATCTCGGGAATATTCTAACCCCTTACCCAGATAATGATTTGTTACAACTGGACCTTTTTTTTGCGTAATTTTACGCATGTTTTTCGAGCCATTCGCAAAAATAAGCAACTCCCATAGGTTACCTAACGAAGCCATGGTTATTTAAGCTGAAGCTTTAGCGATTAGAGAGGCATCTTGCTTAATTGTAAGTCACATCAAGAACAGTGTTGCTCTAATTTTTACAGTGTTCATTTTAATCCCTCATCATAACATCAAAGCTATTTAAAAAATACAGAGCGAAAATTGACGACTGGAACTAATTAGCTGATAGCACTCTCATCCAGGTTCTTGGAGATAGAAACATTGAATAGAATAAAAGAGTAGGCAGTTTGGCCCGCTTTGTTGGTTTCTACGAGTACCGGTTTTGTTCCCTTGGATATCGTTGAGAGAAGTATTTGCTTTTACTTTTTCCAGCTTGCTAATAATAAATGGAAGACACATAAGTCATATGAAACTTTCTGATTATGCTGACCTTGGTATAACAAGACCAGATTTTGTGCACTTATTAAAAGAGAATGTCTGAATGCTGTAATGCTTTCTGTGATTCGATCTGGTCACAAATATATAGAAACACAAGCAGTGCTACGCATTAATTTTAAGGGCATTAGGGAGTACTTATTTGACAGTTTGTCGGACTGTTCATTGGTAAGGATGAAAGATTTGTTAAATTACATGAAGAACTAACATAAGAAAGAAACAAGAGTGTTCTGTGCGAATGCGTTGTATTGGTGTCTAGATGAAATAAGGTTTTAGGGAAGTACTTTTTGGACAGTTTGTCGGACTGTTCATCGGTAGGGATGAAGAATTTGTTAGATTACCTAAATTCAACGAGCTGGATTTCATTTCTTTCATGTTTTTTTTTCTTTTGCAAAGAATTTTAAAATAAACAGATGAGATCGCTAATTATGGAAAGTAACCCAAAATCTACAATAAAGTGGAAACGCGCACATTTGTATGACCTTAAGGTGTAATTTATTATTTGGAATCGATAGATATTTTGCAAGCAAATTTGGCTACTTAAGTATTCATTGAACAGCTCAGTATCTCAATCTCGTTCAAGGGTTTACTCGTATTTGCACTGTACATTTTATTTCACACATAGCCAAGCACGCACTGCAAGGATATTGATGACATATTAGCATGACAAATACAAGTAACAATGTCCAGAAGTACAACTTCGTACCAAATTATGAACTCAATTGTGAAAATGTGTGCATCATCTTCTAGTAAGAAGAGCAAATATGTAAAGTTGATATGTATCTGATGATGATTAAAAGTCTCCGGGTTAGATAAGAACAATTGGAAGCCACTACTACGGGTGTGTGTCATCTGTGTAATGCAATTTGTACTTATGCCAACATTTCCTTTATACACTTTTGCATTTTCGATTTATGCTGTGGCACAGTACGGCAGTATGGAAAGGAGCCAAAGGATTTTGGCATTGTTATCATGTGTATAAGCATTGCTATTATACATAGAGCAGCAAGAGTAACTGGTGTGAAAAGTCAAGTTGGTAGTTTTTACAAACATTTCTGCATAATAATGATCTTGGTTTGCACTTTGGTTTGGTTTGTTAACTTCCGCATGTGTAAGTTTTTGTAGACAATTTGTGCACCATTTTAGCAATACTCCTTCCCTCTCTTGGTGCACTATACTCGTATATATCACAAATGATTTAATCTACTGAAAGTAGAAGGAGTTCAATTTACCAAAATAGATTTGAAGTATATCTTTGGTTACAATTTATTATGCATTCAAGAGTATTTATTCGTGCGAAAGATATTTCGCATGTGCATGAGGAAAATCGTATAGGAAAGCATTTGATTATGTAAATTTGTTTATGAGTTTAACGAAGCATAAGTTTTCTGTTAAAAAATTAGTTATTTAAAAATAAGATATTAACAAATCAAAAAGTATAAAGGACTGCTCTTATAATAAATTTCAACCTTAGTATTTGAAAATTTTTCATACCATTGTATGCTTGATTCCTACGTCTTCACTCAAACTAAATGACACTTGTACTTTGTCCATACCGCTTAATAAACTTACTCACTTTAGTCACTTAAATATTGCAACTTGAGTTACGGGTATTTTGTTGACTGAGCTAAAGTGTCAACATCAACACTGACCAAATGCAGTCAATTTGTAGACAAACACTTCATCATCATCACCAGCATCATACTATTTTGCATATATTGTATATTTG